GCCCTACTGCCCCCGCTCCTTTGGGTTCTAGTCCCGCCTCACCCGCCGACCCTCCTTGTAAACGCTTGAAATCGCAAGCTCAAGCCGAGCGGACTCCCAGGCATGAGAAACCGCTGTTTCTGGAAATCTGTAGTGGGTCTGCTATGCTGTCTTATGTTGCCAAAGAGGCCGGATACACAGCCGTGCCCATCGACTGGCATCACAACAAACAGCGGGCGTGTGTGCACACTTTACAGCTCGACTTGCGCCTGGCCAGCACTTGGTCTTTCTTGCGACGCATTTGCTCCGAGTACGATGTTGCTTGGGTGCACATGGCTCCTCCATGCGGCACCGCTAGCCGGGCTCGAGAGTGCGGTCCCGGCCCTAAGCCATTGCGTTCAGTCCGTCATGTGCGCGGCCTGCCCGGCCTCCCACCAGTGGAGCAGGCGAGAGTGGACAGTGCAAACACCATTTATGATAGCATGGCAGCCTTCTGTGACTGACTGGCTGCTGCATGCCATGCCGCATGTTCCCTTCTCCGTTGAAAACCCTCTTCACAGTTACCTGTGGCAGCTCCCGAGGTGGGCCGAGCTGGTCGCCAAGCACTCCTTCGTCACATTCGACTCGTGCCGCCACGGGTCACAACGCAAGAAGGCCACAGCCCTCCTCACAAACTCGGAGCTTCTACACTGCCTTTCGGGACCATGCCCGGGATGCTCCTCGCACTTGCCGTGGGGTAAGCAGGGCAATTCTTTTGCAACAGCTGAGGAGACGGGCTATCCCAAACTTCTTTGCGAAAGGATTGTCTCATGCGTGGATAAGTCAGCTGCATCACGAGGGATTGCGCCTGAACGCCTCGTTGCCTCCAGGGTTTCTGCTGCGCGTGCCGCAGGTCAGGTGCAACCTCGTGGCCGCAAGTTTCCGCCAATCATTTCTGAATTTGCTTACACTATGTCAGTCGCCAGTGCTGCGGCTCCCACTCTCAACTCCAAGCAGTGCCTTTCGGCTTCTTGGCACGGCGTCCCTGCAGGCGCCAAGCTCCTCCGGGAGTCAGTTGAAAGGGGAGGTTCGCGACTCCCAGAGGGGAACAAGTTCTACACTTTTGGCGTCTATCGATCCATGCAAGCTTTCTTGAACGAGGCAAAGTTGGTTGTGCACCCCTTCGATTCTGCCAAATCACTTCCAGATGAACTGTTGCGAGTCTTGTTTGACACTCTTACGAAGAGCCCGGTTGACACCATGAAGCACCGTCTTTTGAAGCTACAACAGTGGCGAGCCCTCGCCAGGCAGCTTGATCCCGAAGAAGAGAAAATCAGATCGGCGATGGACCCTTGTGTGCGGAAGGTCCTTAGTTGTAAGCGCATCGCACTCATGAAGAGGATCGCCGCCGAGTTGTCGTGGCCTGACACGGCCCTCTTCGATGACCTGGCTGCCGGCTTTAAGCTAACGGGGTACTTGGGGCGTACGGGGGTATTCGCTAGCGATGTTAAACCTGCCACGATGGACCTTGACGATTTCTGGGCAAGTGCTCCCCTCCGGAGGGAAACCCTGCTTGAAAAAGTCAGAGCCCAGAAGGACCATGACTATGCCGAAGAGCTCTGGAACATGACGCTTGAGGAGTCTAACAGATCGGGGAAGTGCTGGCTTGACGGCCCGATCGACGTTGACTCTTTGGGGGACAACTTCCCTGACGGTTGGAACGCCTGCCGGCGTTTTGCAGTCTGGCAGGGCAAGTGGCGTGCGATCGATGACTTCTCGGAAGCCGCTGTGAACTCTTGTTTCGGATGCTTTGAACGTGTTACTCTCAAGGCCCTCGATGAGATCTGCTGGCTGTGCATGCAGGTTTGCCGTGCGGCAAAATCTTCAGGATCCCTCGATCTTGAGCTCAGCACCGGTGAGAGACTCAAGGGACCCCTCCATACGGCTTGGAAGGACCCTGACCGTGTCCACCCTCACTGCAAAACTTACGATCTTCAAGCTGCCTACAAGCAGCTCGCACTGCACCCTAGCGAGAGGCCGAAATCCATTATCCTGCTCAGGGAGCCGGGCTCCCGCGCCGTCAAGGCCTTTGTGTGTAACACTCTTCCTTTCGGAGCTTCAGCCTCGGTCATGCAGTTTAACAGGGTTGCATTATTCCTGCAGAGGGTTCTTTGGGATTTGAGGGTGGCCGTAACTTGCTACTATGACGATTTCCCGACGATGACCCCTTCGTTCTTGTCTGGCGGGACTGACAATGCAGTTCATGCCCTCATGGATCTGTTTGGCTTCTCCTTGTCCGAGAAAGAAAAGCCGTTCTCGTGCACTGCAGAAACGCTGGGTGTCGTGCTGGATACCTCCGATCCTGACATGGGCCGCATCTTCGTATCGAACAAGCCTGAACGAGCTGCCATGCTTGAACAGTCCTTGGGCCGCATCCTTGAAAAGGGCCAGGTAGACACGCGGGAGCTGCCATCCCTTCTTGGAAAGCTTCGCTTTGCAGATGCTCAGCTGCTTGGTCGCACAGGGCGATTGGCCCTGGCCGACCTCAGGCTCTTCGGTGACAGAGGGGGTGTCTTGAACCTGACGGATACTCAATCGAATGCCTTGGCTGTTCTGAGGGCAAGACTTCTTGCGAGCAGGCCGCGTGCCATTGTGACGAGCCCCGCCTCGAACCCAGTCCTCATCTTCACAGATGGCGCATGCGACCCTTGCGAGGGCGGCTTCAGTACTGGTGTCGGTGGGGTTCTCTTTGTCCCCGGCGAGGGTGTTGCTAGGGCTTTCGGTTGCAGGGTTCCTAGCGAGCTCGTCAAGCAATGGGCCGAGGGTAGGAAACACATTATAGGGCAGGTCGAGCTTTACGCGGTCGTGCTCGCCAGGATCCTGTGGTCGAGTTACATTGATGGCGAGCGATGCATATTTTTCGTCGACCATTCCGGCGTCTTGAGTGCTTGCATCAACTCGAACTCGATCGATGCATCTTGGAGGAGTCTCCTCCTTCACTTGGAGGCCGCCGATGAAGCGCGCCCGTGCCTGCCGTGGTTTCATCGTGTACCGAGCCAGAGCAACATCGCGGACCCGCCATCCCGAGGCAGATGGGAGGAGCTGGCATTCCTTGGTCCTGTTACTCGTGACGTGCCGACTTGCTTTGTCACAGGTGCCACTCTTGAAGCAACGTAACGCATAGTCGAGAGGGGGAAGATTGTGGTCACGTTGCACTCCATCGTGCGACTGGACTCTGGGGGGCACTCGAGTGCCTCTGCTTAAGTGGAGTGGCGCGCTTAGTGCCCGGTGCACGCCCTGTGCACCTTCGTTTTCCTTGAAAACTCCCCACGACTCTCGGCTGTGCCGTGAAAAGAAGTGTGAGCGTCTTTGCATCAATTTCATATCCTTTTGTATATATTTGGATCGGACCAATATATTTGGTCAACAATTCTTTATATGATGGAATCTGCGATATTTGATCAAGACTCTTATACTTGATTCAAATATGTGATTGTCATGGATGACCGGATCTATAAGCATCTCTTCACGCGTGCGTGTCGATGTTTTATAGATCCTAGGTCAAACGAAATTTTGTTAGCAACAAAATTTTGGGCCATGACAATCCCTCGCGCTACTCTTAGTAGTGCTTTTCATTTCAGCTTTCACAACATTTCAATTGTGATCCTCTGCGCTACTCGTAGTAGTGCTTTGCAGTTCAAGTTTTCACAATTTTGTATTGTGATTTGCGAACCCACTCTCTGAGCAACCGACGAATTTTTGACTTTGTCGGCAAACATCCTTTTGTTCATGTTCGGAATTGTGGCCACTGGAGCTGTCTCGTCATCGAGCCAGAGAATTTTTGATCCCGCCCACCCGCCCGGGGGAAGATTGTGGTCACGTTGCACTCCATCGTGCGACTGGACTCTGGGGGGCACTCGAGTGCCTCTGCTTAAGTGGAGTGGCACGCTTAGTGCCCGGTGCACGCCCTGTGCACCTTCGTTTTCCTTGAAAACTCCCCACGACTCTCGGCTGTGCCGTGAAAAGAAGTGTGAGCGTCTTTGCATCAATTTCATATCCTTTTGTATATATTTGGATCGGACCAATATATTTGGTCAACAATTCTTTATATGATGGAATCTGCGATATTTGATCAAGACTCTTATACTTGATTCAAATATGTGATTGTCATGGATGACCGGATCTATAAGCCTTGAATACTTTCGCAGGATCCGGGAAGCGACAGCAACGTGGAGTCGAAGAAGCTGGGCCGCCGCGGCCCACGTCTGAAGGACGAGTATTGAGTAAATCTCATTGGGAAAAGCTGTGCGCTATTGCGTGTTTGGCAGGATTTCGCAACTGACACCGACTGGGCCCGGGCATTTGTGGAGTCACAGAACTCACGATCGGAGAAGGACGGGTGTGGTAATCTACATATAGAGTTGTTTGTATGTACGTGTTTGTCAGGATGGACCAAGCGACAGCGACGTGGAGCCGAAGGGGCCGCTGGGTTCGGCATCCGAGAAGGACGGATATGATACAGCTAGTATTATTTCTAATTGTGTGTTCTGGCAGGAAGGACGAAGCGCCACCGACATCGAGCCGAAGGGGCCACTGGACTCGGCATCGGAGGAGGACGGATATGAATCAGCTAGTGTTACTTCTATTTGTGTGTTCTTGCAGGATGGACCAAGCGCCAGCGACATCGAGCAGAAGGGGCCACTGGACTCGGCATCGGAGAAGGACGGATATGATACAGCTATATAGTATTATTTCTATTCTGTGTATTCTTGCAGGATGGACGAAGCAGCAGCGACATCGAGCAGAAGGGGCCACTGGACTCGGCATCGGACAAGGACGGATATTTGTCTTCCCCGAGGAAGTTGTCGACTTGAGAATGGGCCGTTGAGCTTCGGCTGTGCCCGGGTTTGGTACTTCAACAGTGTACTGCCGTCGAGCCTTCAGGCTGTGCAGTGTTTTCCGCATCTTTCTGAGTGAGAGTGCCTGCCAGAAAATTTTCTTCGTGAGTGACGCAACTTTGGCCTCAAGCCCTCTTAGGTGCCATGAATTCCACCTTGGACTCCGCTGCCGCATTTCATGCACGTGCGCTTGAGATAGGTTTACCTGCTGACTTTCTCAAGCTGCTGGAAGACGGAGGAGTCACGACGACGGGCACGCTAGCCTTCATCTCACCCTTCCAGGTGGGCCACTCGGACGAGAAGCCTGTGATCGACGCACTCCAGACAGTCGTGAAGCGTGATCTCACGCAGAAGGAGCTTTTCGTGACGAGGCGGCTCTGGTACGAAGCCTCTACCACAGCAATGGGAGAGCTCAAACAGAAGGTGGAAAGAAGCGACTAGCAGAACCGATCCGCTTGGCTTGGCTGTCGCTGAGAGGACTACGCGAATCGAGGAACAACGCAGGCGCCTCAACGGAGTTCACTTCTCCAGTGACAGCGAGCCAAGCTATCGCGTGACAGATCTTGTGTTTCAGCAAGGAACCGACCAACAGCTCATCTGGCTTCCTTGCCAGAAATACACCAGCAAGGCACAAGAGATCGTTTCGAGCAAATCGGACTTATCCATCAGCTTTGACAACAGTGGAAATCTGCGCTTGAACAAAAAGTTCCAGGATGCCCAGTGTTCTTTGACCGGTGAATTGCAGGTGCGTCAAGCTCTCCAGCGCAGATCCTTGTGCTACGATCTGGCGCAACTCTGCGCTTATTCAGTGATGGAAGCCTACCACGAAGAGATGTTTTCTCTTCTCTCACGCCCGCCAGTGCCGGGCCGCATGTGTATCACCATGGGCCAGGTCAAGGAGGCTGACAAGGTCCTTTTCTTCAAAATTGCAGAAGAAACCAGAGGTGCCCTTAGCGTGCGGCCGGACGGCTCCAAGCCGATGGAGCTGCAGCTTCTTGCCCTTAAGGCTCACCCCCAAGTGCAATTCTGTGTGATTCCTGGAGCCGCGAGCCCTGCCACTCCGTACAGGGTCGAGCCTTACGAAACCTGGATTCCGGGCGGTAAAGGATTTAAAGGTAAGAAGGGTAAAACAGGCACTGGCAAGGATGGCAAATGGCAAGGGCAAGACCGGCGGCAAGCAGAATCAGGGTTCAGAAGTGCCGCAGCCTCCTCCTGCCTATGTGCTGCCCGATGGCTGTTCCAGCAAAGATCCCGAAGGTGTTCCGATTTGTTTCCCGTACAACAAGGATGGTTGCAAATTTGCTAAGGATGGCAAGCGTTGCCGCCGTGGCAAACACATCTGCTGGAAGTGCTTCAAGCCTCACTCTTACACCGCTTGCACCAAGGGCGGCGCCTGATTACTTCTGGCTTCTTCGCCGCCCTCGCGAGTGACGCTGCCAGCCGAGTGCGAGGGCCCGCCGTTGCAGACGGGGGATTCTGCGTTCGGGGCTTCAGACTCTTCCGGTTCTTCGGCTTACAAGCATAATGATGCCGTGCAGAAGATTCTTTCAATTTTCCACACTGTCCCAGGTGACCCGCTCCCAGAGGGCAAGCAGGCCGCCGAGGGCCGCTGCTTCACAACAGGCTCTTTCGTTAGAGGGTCCTTAGTCGGGTTGAGGGCCAATAGCCGTTTGCATCCCGAGTTCACGAGGACTCTCTGTGTGAGTTTGTCAATGCCGAAGCACACCCGGAGTTTATGTACAGCACCATCTCCATTTTCGAGCAACTTCACGTGGGCCGTCACAGAGACGCCAACAACCTTCAGAATTCGCTTAATTTTGTTTATCCGCTTACGCAATTTTCAGGTGGCCAGGTTCGCTGCTTTCCACCTGACGCGCCATCACCAAGGGTCCTTTCTTTCGAAAGGGGCCCAAGTTACTTCGATGCCAGATCATGCGAGCATGACGTGTGTCAGTGGAGCGGCCACCGCATCGTGTTGGTTGCCTTCAGCACTCGTGGTGCATGCGACTTGCCTGCCAAGGATCGCAACCTATTGTGCAACCTCGGTTTCAGGCTGCCCGTTTCAGGCTTTACCAATCTGCACTTGCAATCCGACTTCGACTGGGAGCCGGATCCTCCAGAGACCCCGTCCTCCGCCACTTCTGACGCACAGCCAGTGCCATCAACAGTCGGCATTTTGCCGCCCCCCCCCCGCAATTGCCGCTGCCTTCCCCAAGCCTTCAGTCTCGCCTGCACCGTGTGGCGCGCCACTCTTCGATGCTTCAGCCGCCGGGGCCAAACCTGTTTTTCCACCCGCCCCCCCTGCATCTGGTGCCAGCCCGAGTCAGCCGACTCCTTTGTTCGTCGAGGTTTTCGCTGGGTGTGCCAGACTGTCTTCTACCTTTGCAGCCGCTGGTTTTCAAGTGCTCGCCATCGACGGGCCGCGCAACAAGCATTCGCCGCTGCATCAGGTGTGGACGCTCGACCTGACCGTCCGGCATTGTCAGGAGGCACTTGTAAAGCGTCTCCTGCAGTCACCCGTGTTCCTGGTGCACATTGCGCTGCCTTGCGGCACTGGCTCCCGGGCCCGGGAGCGTCCCTTGCCTGCACACCTCTTGGCGGCTGGTGCGCCTCAGCCAAAGCCGTTGCGTTCCAGTCAACACGTGCTTGGCCTGCCAGATCTCTGCCCCAGCGACGAGGCCCGCGTGACTTCCGCTAACCGCTAACCTTCTGTCCGAGTTCACAGTTAGGCTGCTTGCATTGTGCCAGGAAAAAGGCTGGCATGTCTCTCTATCGAGAATCCGGTAAGGAGCTGGATGTGGTCTGTGCTGGCCCACTTCACTCGCCAGCTCAAGTCCCCGACCTTGGCATCGTTCTTCAACGACCTTCATACCGTCGATTATGCGCAACGCATGCTCGGAGGTGCTAGGGATAAGGTTTCACGACTGCTTACTTCGATGCAGGCCTTGTGCCCACTGGCTTGTGAGTGCGACAAAAAGCATACTCATTTGCCCTTTGCAGTGGCTCGTGCAGCAGGCCGTTGGACCTTCGCTACAGCTTCGGAGGCCGAGTATCCTTCCCAGTTGTGCAATACTTTCTGTCGCCTTGCTAGTAGTTCCCTGCCCTCTTGTCCCGCGCCCTTGCCTAGGCCCACGGTGCGGCAGTCTCGCCGTGCACCGCAGTTAATCCCCGAGTTTAAGGAGTTCCGGGATTCTAGGCCTGCCCAGGGTGAGTTTCGCGAGCTTGTACGTGACGGGGGCCGCGACGGAAGCTGCTCAACCTTCGGCATCTTTCACACGAAGCAGGAGTTCACCCACAGGGCCCTTAAGCTCGATCATCCCTTCGACGACGCAGCGGCGATTGACGACAGCGCAAGAAGGAACATTTTCGATCTTCTTACCAAAGGCCTTTCGTCTGTTGCTCAGAAGCGCATCAATGCCACAAAGAAGGTGAACCAGATGGCTAAAGAGCTCTCAGTGGAGGAGGCAAGGTTTCACGCTTCGTTACCACAGCATGCTCAGGAGGTCTTGAAACGCAAACGCATACTGCTGTGGAGAAGGCTGTTGCAAGAAACTGGATTCCCAGATGTCTCGGTCGGTGAGCTCATGGAGGGCGTCGACCTTGTCGGCAAACCGGCCAAGTTGTCTCTGTTTGAGTGGAAAGAGGTCCCTGCGACTTCTTCCGTGCAAGATCTCCTTGACTCATCTGTTTGGCGTAATCACGCACTTCAGAAGTCGCTTGATGTTGACGACTCGGACGATCTTACGAGCAAACTTTGGGAATGCACTCTGCAGGAGGTTGAGAAAGGTTTTCTCAAGGGACCGTTTCAGTCAGAGGAGCAAGTTCGTGCAGCGCTTGGTGAAGAAGCTGTCTGCTGCACCCGGAGGTTCCTTGTCGTCCAGGGTAGTGCTGAGAATCCGAAGTTCAGGCCCATTGATGATTTTCGAGAAAGTGGCATCAACGCACATTCCCTTGATCACCTGCGTTTGCACGACGTCGACTTCTTCATTACCTTGTGCCGATTCATTTGCAATGCTGTGGACGAGAAAGGAGTAGTTGCGGTGTTCCTCAGAAGCGGAGAACAACTTCGAGGGAAGCTCAGCTCGGATTTTGGGCGAGACTGCGCATGGGTAGGGCGGTGCCTCGACTTGGAAAAAGCTTATAAGCAGGTACCTTTGGCTTCACAAAGCCTTAAGCTGGCGGTACTCCTCGTTCGCGAGCCGCTCACGAATGCTTTTCGCTTCTTCGTCAGTAACTCCCTGCCGTTCGGCGCGTGCGCAGCTGTGTACAGCTTTAACCGCCGAATAAGTCGTAGCTTACTTCACCTTGCAACCACTCTTTGTGGTGTAATAGGCGGCGTATTTTATGATGATTTTCCTCTAGTAGAACCTGCACTGACCGCCAGGCTATGCACTGTTTCGATTGAAGCGCTGCTTGACAGTCTCGGGTGGCGATACAGTCGAGACAGCGAAAAGGACAAGCCGTTCGCTAGCCAGTTCAACTTGTTGGGAGTCCAGCTCTCTCTTGACTCTCTTCATCTTGGCAGCATCGCTCTGGAAAACAAGCCATCAAGAGTTGCAAAGCTTCTGCTGGTCGCGCAGCAGATGTGTGCAAGTGGCAAACTCTCGCGAGCGGAGGCCATGTCTTTGCAGGGACAGCTCAACTTCATGGTGGGCTTTGCGTCAGGTAGGTCGCTCAAGCTTGTTTGCCGAGCACTTTCGAACCTCGTCTACTCCAACCGAGCCTGGACGCGAGACGAGGTCAAGCAACTGGGAGGTTACCTTAAGTGTTGTCTCGAGGCTCTTACGCCAAAGACGATGTGCTTGAAAGGAGGCTCACGCCCCCTTGTGATTTTCACTGACGCCGCCTATGAGCAAGGGGTTGCTACTTGGGGTTTAGTGGTTCTTGATCCCGATGCGGGTAGGCGCAAAGTAGCTGGTGGTCGAATCCCCTCTTCTTTGATCGAGCTGTGGCACCAAGACACTGAGGATCAGGTTATCGCTCAGGCCGAAGCGTTTGCAATGGTGATTGCAAGGGATTATGCAGCAACCTTCGCAAAGGGCCGTAGAACTTTCTTCTTCGTTGACAACGACTCCGCGCGATATTGCATGATCCGCGGTAGCAGTCCCGTGAGAGCGCTGCTGGCGCTGGCTCACGCGTTTTATGCCAGCGAGTGCAGAGACCAACTTGTCACTTGGATAGAGCGCGTGCCATCAGCCTCCAACGTCGCAGACCTCCCCAGTCGTGGCGAGTGTGCAGCTGCAGCCAAGATGGTAGGAGGGCGTGTCATCAACATTGACAGCATTGTGAAAATTGCTGCTCAGCGGTGCTCGGATGTCAGCGCTCTGCCTTGGAGCCTCTTGGCGTGCCACTTCAAGGGCCCTGTTCCCGCCTTTCACTTCTCGTGAGCTTCGGACGTCTGCAAGGGGGCAAACGGGTCCTGTGGTGCCCTTGAGCTGTGTCTCGTTGTGCGAGGGCGTTGCTACCACGGACGTAGGCGGTTTGCATGCTTTTGGATCACCCCTGTTCCGTTGCTCGCGCAAAAAGAAGACAGTCCGAGTGTTTGCACAACTCTGTGATTGATGTTCATATTCTTGCGAATAAGTTTGACGATCTTTATTGATTGCAAATTTTGCTCGTCTCACATATTGCGAATATACTGCGGGACATATTCCGCATGCTTTTTCCCTCTTTATATATGCAGTTTTGTAAATCACGAAGACGACTATTTCACGAATGTGATCATGTTGTCTTTGATTTACAGTCGCTAACACAGCGACGCAAAACTGCCAAAGAACTTTTGTGTTCTCACGTCGAACATTTTACATGTTGTGAGATACTGACATTTTTCAATGTTGATGGAAGTTTAACTGGAAGACTTACTGTCTTTCCGCTCGAGCATCTGTCGGTGCATCTAACTTCTGATGATTTGTTCGCGTCGGCAGTTGTGGCTCCGAAGACAGCTGCAACAGAGAAACGATTTTCCCGCCCACCCACCCTGGGGGGCAAACGGGTCCTGTGGTGCCCTTGAGCTGTGTCTCGTTGTGCGAGGGCGTTGCTACCACGGACGTAGGCGGTTTGCATGCTTTTGGATCACCCCTGTTCCGTTGCTCGCGCAAAAAGAAGACAGTCCGAGTGTTTGCACAACTCTGTGATTGATGTTCATATTCTTGCGAATAAGTTTGACGATCTTTATTGATTGCAAATTTTGCTCGTCTCACATATTGCGAATATACTGCGGGACATATTCCGCATGCTTTTTCCCTCTTTATATATGCAGTTTTGTAAATCACGAAGACAGGCAGAGGAAAGGGCGGTCCACCGCGATCCAAAGGTGACCGTACCCGTAGCCCAGCTCATAGGTAGCCGACCGACGTCCAATGCGGCGACGAGTGGTGTTCTCGCGAAATGGATCCGGTTGATTCTTTTTGACCTCGAACTTACAAACGGTGGACGTCAGATCGAATCTGATGATGAAGCTTTACTTGAACACCAATTCCGCTGCTTCCTCAGCCATCCTTGCCTGTGCCGACGCTGAGAAGACCCACAGGGGTACAATGGCTAGCCATGGAATTTTCCTCGTGTGTCTCTCTCTTTTCACTGACACTCGATGCTGCCGAGCTGCTGTTCTGAGCGCATTGAGTCTGATAGGTATGCCCCGCGATGTCATGGGTTCATCCGTCTCGCCCGCGATCGTGAGGCGTGTTCGCTATGAGCCTACGATACAAAGGCTGCGAATGTACAGTGTGAGCCATAGGCACGATCACGCTACAGCAGTCGACCCGCATCTAATGGCTACATATCTGGCTTTTAGCCCTTGCTGTCTGGAAGAGGTGTGCCTCGATGCACAATCAGTGCATGTGGCATTTTAAACTCCGCTCTTCTCACGCGTGAGCTCGCGTCGAGGGGGGTGAGATTTGCCACATACATGCGAACATGTGCTGCTGTAGTTGTGTGAAATTTCCCTGTCTTGAGGTGCCGTGTTGACATGTCCTCATGCGTGGATAGTTTTTGAGACAGTTCTGAACGCACCCTGTACGACAGACGTCTTGGGCTCAGACCAAAAAGTGCGCTCGTTGTGTGGTTGGACACTCACTAATCCAGTTCCTGCTTCAAACTGGTAGCGGAGCTGTGAGGACAACCACTAGTGTTTCACCCCCGTAGAGCCTGTGGTCCGGGGTCCGTTGGGTAGAGTAGTGATAGTCGCGGCGCAAAGGCCCCTTCTATCTGAAGCCATGAGCGTGGCAGGTTTGCGTTACCAGCCCAATCTCTGGTCACAGAACCTGAGCCCTGCAGAAACGAAAAGCGGTTCGTACATATACGACGGTACGGCTGCTGGCTTCCACGATTGGTGCTTCCGGACACAGATCCGTGTGCTGCAACATAAGGAGAAGCAGCGGCGTGAAGCTCTTAAGGACATGCGATTTGCCGAGTCGGCAAGGGCCAAGAGCGAGTCACCAAGGAAGTGGCGTGGCAGGGCAAGTCAGGGGACCAGCGCATCGCCCACAGATGGTGATGGAAGCAGCGGTATACCCGCCAGTCCGTCCAGCGCAAAACGGACTAAGCCCGCGTCCGAGGCAGAAGATGAGGATGCGGAGTCGTTGCCGTCGCACCCCCGCCAAGTGGCGGGCGACGATGAGCAGGAGCCGGACACAGATCCGGCGGTGTACACCTTGCAAGACATTAAGGACGAGTCGCTTGATATGAGCGAATGCGTTAGCAAGATTTTGGAGGGTCTTCGAGGAGACGCCTTTTGCATTGCTCGCGACGTCGGCCTGGAACGTCTGCTACGCCATGATGGCGTCGACTACCTGATAGAAGAAATCAGGAGGCAAGCTTTCCCTCTTCAATCTGAAGAGGCGTCCGAACTTTTTCGTCAGGGACAGCTCCTGACGGGCCCACTCGCAAAGCAGCCCGGCGAGCCTATGTTGTCTTACATAGCCCGCCGAAAGCGGTGGTGGTCGACCTTGCGTGAGCTAGATCCTGATATCCGCCTTTCTGAAGCAATGAGGGCTAACCTCCTTGTTGAGCTTTCAGGGTTGGAAAGGAACGAACAGATAATGGTCAAGACCGCCGCCCGCGTACACACCGTGGATGAGTACGCACGCGTCCTTGTTCAGCATCACTCAGTGGTGCACATGAAGGAACGTCTTCTTACCCAGAAGGACCCTAGTGGCCCAGGTAAGACCTGGAGACGTTTCGACGCTAAGCCACAATACCCTAAGTTTGGTTACATGGGGGATGATGGTAGTGCCGCAGAGTATGGTCACCAGGAACAGCAGGAATCCGCGGAAGGCTACGGTGACGGCTACGGCGAGGAAGCATACCAGGCCACAGCGTCTGGGGGAGATGATGCGGATGAATGGATTGATGATGAAGACCTAGCATTGCAACTTAACGCCTATACGGCAGTGGCATATGAAGCTGAGATTGACGATTTGGATGATTCCTATGCCGAGTCAGTTCAGCTTGCGTACGCGGCGCAGACCGCCTTTGCCCAGGCAAAAGGAAAAGGAAAAGGGAAGAACAAGGGCAAGTCCTCCGGAAAATCCGGTGGGAAGGTCGTGCGTAGCAATTTGACTATTGCTGATCGTAAGGCCAAGTTGGCAGAGCTTAAGGCAAAGAGTAGGTGCCTGAAGTGCGGTGTGATCGGCCATTGGGCCGGAGATGCTGCCTGCAAGTTTAGCGGTAAGGGCAATGGCCCCAAGGGCACCACAACCCCAGCACAGTCTGGAGGAACTGCCAACGCAGCCGCAAAGCCGGCGGCGCCGAAGCCTCAGGCGTATTTCGCCGCAGTGGAGGAGGATGACGACACAGAGTGTGTCCACCTGTCGAATGCGAGTGCTGGTAGGCTCGAGGGTTACCCAGCCAACCTTGAGCTGACTCCCTCAAGGACCAATACCGGCAAAGGCCGCGGCAATGAACCCCTCTTCTCACCGCAGCTTCGGCGCACAGCCGCCGCTAGGATCATGCGTGACAGCCCGCCTGAGGGTTCTGATCGCGTGTTCTCTTTTGGTCAGCATAAGGGTCTGACTTATGAGCGTGTCTTGTATACGTTCCCTGGATATGTTCTTTGGGGACGCACGCAGAAGTGCCCATCCATAAATTTGGCCGATTTCTTGGATTGGGTCACGGAGTACTTTGATGTGCGTGATGATAACCCCATTAGCATCACGAGAAGGGATATCCCTCTCAGCCAGGAACCCCCGCCTGAACCCTTCCAGCCCGAGGTTCGCCTTGCTGCGTCAGCTGCTTCGTCCAGCGAAGGCCCCCGGAAATGCCGGGGAGGTTGCAAGGAGTTCAACAAGTCGGGGAGTAACGCATACATAGACATGCGGACCTGTAAGAAATGCGGCACCGTCACCAAGACGAAGAAAGAGAAGACTGTCATAGACCAGGCCACATGCCCCCACACCTCCACCGAGAGGTCGGGTAGCAGTAGGAAGACTTCCCGCATTAAGTGCAAGCTTTGTGGGATGCTTCTAGATGAGCAGCCGCAGACCGAGCGAAAGGCTAGGGATGACGCAGCCACAGTGCTGCGGGAGTCCAATACCCTGGACTTCGACCTTTTGCGCAGCATAGTCGGCAGCACGGGGGATAGCCTCCCCGTAGAGGTAGTAGTTCCGGCTATTGCCCAGTTTCAAGAGACCATAGAGGGTCATTTCGTAACCGAGCCCGTGATATCTCGCGGTGACCTTCTCGCATACCTGCAAGAGGCCTTAGATGATCACTCTGCGTCATCGACCAACAACAGTTGGGAAGTGGCGTCGGCGAGATCGCGCTCCTCGAGGGCCTCCGCGACGAGGCACGCCTTCGTGGCTTTCACTGAGGGGGTCACAGATATCCATCCGGCTTTGGGTGATTTGCCCGTAGTAAATATCTACGAGGATAAGCACGTATACGCCGTGTTGGATGAGGGCTGTAACTCGACTGTTCACGGTAGCGATTGGATAGCAAACGCGGCGGGGCAACTTGCGAACTTCGGTTACAGCACGAGGTTTAAACCTGAGGGCAATCGTACCTTCAAGGGTCTTAGCGGTGCTACCGAAACACTGGGTAGCAGGACCATACCTTTCTCTATAATGGGATTGGAGCAGGACTTGAGAGTTCCGGGCGTCCTTGATTCTCACGAGATTAAGGGTACAGCCCCTCTCCTTTTGTCCCTTTACGCCCAGGCCCAACTTGGTATAACCAAGGACCTTCGGTTTGGCGAGTGTGGTGTTCGACTTCCTTCTGAGGATAGCATCATTAGGATCAAGCTGTGTCGGACACATGACTCAGGGCTGTTATGCATAAACATAACAGAAGGTTTGGTTCAGGTGAAACAACCCCGTCTCATAAGAAGCTTCCAAATCCCCTCACCGCCAGTTCCTATATTTAGGTCTGCCGCCGCCGCCGCCTTAGCTCA